ACTCGAAGAAATATAATCAGGTATGTATACTGAATAATAAGGGTCCTAAACCTCACTAATATCTTCAATATATCCTAAATCTAGACTATTCACATCCTCCATGCCTTGACCTTCGCCATCCAGACTTATTTCAATGTCACTCATTATATCAACTTCTCATAAAGGTATCAGCTCTTTGGTACTCGAGTACAATAATCCGAAATAAGATAATTCACAACTCGAGTCGACCGGTCCTAAGAGTAAATCACCTATATTAGAGATTCCTACCTGGCATACATATCTATCTTCTCCAAGTATCATGGTAAAGGTTTTATGCCTATAACATTCATGATTCACAGCTTATGCTCAAGAAGAGTACTTAGTCCTTTATTCATTCACATAATAGGGACCATAACATCACTTGTCCCAAACTCAACCTGTGCAGAGACCACTTGAAGAGACTCTGATACTACCTGTGACGACTCCACCTCTCCCTAGGGCATACCCAAGGGTTTGGCAGACCGCCTGCCCAACTCTTGTCAGGACTCACTCACTTACATTCTTAAAATAGTCTTACACGCCTCAAGATCAACATAGAAGTTCCATTCATCTAAGAATTTCAACTTAATTTACAATTCAAAAGTGTAATATAGGATTTCATTACCAAATCTCCAAAATACATTTCATCTACAAACGAGAATGAGCTATTTCACTATTTCACTATTTCTGTGGCGACCCCACTTCCCCCTAAGGTGAACCAAAGGGTTGGCGGGCCGCCTGCCCAGCTCTCGCCAGGACTCACGCAAGCATTCTAACCCACATCCTTTCGAAAAAATAACCTAATCTATTACAAAACAATTTTCCAGAAGAAGACCGTCACTAAAACCACATTAAATTCAGAGATAGCGGTGATTTAAAATAGCCAATCGAAGCTCTTAAAAGTCCCACGTGCTACATACCAAGGTATAAAATCGTACGAAACCGGATAGATAATTAGATACATCACTAATACAAACTGACAAGCCAAACGCTCGAATTAGGATTTACACATTTTCCAGCTTCAAATGGCAAACCAAAATAAAAAGTACATTATCCAAATTAAACACAGTACAGCTCATACAACTAGTCATAATATTCAAACACATCCCAAAACGGAACATGGATAAGTTTCAAAGCTTTCAATTTCCAGAACCTGTCAAGGAAAACAAATAAACGTGGGGTGAGCTAAAGCTCAGTGGTGCCCCAAAACATGCAGTCACGTAAATCAAACAGCGAGTAATAACTTAACCAAATTGAATAGTTAGGAAAGCGTATAACAGCACAAGGTAGGATACAGGGGCTCTCAGGAGCCATTTTCCTCGCTTGATCACCATTCATCGTAGTTGACCCTCTGTCAACTCTCACTACTTATGATCCATGTAGAGTGTCTCATTTTGTTACCTAACCCGTCACCATTCATACCCCTGTCCCGGGCCCGAACACCGACTAAGGGAGCAGTATACTCGAGATATACCCTCAGGAAATTGGGAGCAGTATACTTGCGTATACCCTCAGGAAATTAGGAGCAGTATACTTGCGTATACCCTCAGAACTTTGGTCGAGGGATTCACTGTGAGAACCCGTACTTTCCCTAATAATTTTCCTAGGGTTATTTCCTTTCATTGCATGTTTTCTGCATTTTCTGGCTTAGGAAAATTTTCTTGGTGGATTTTATGAGTAATTATAGTTTTTAGATGATTTTTCTAGCATTGGGTAGTTTTTGAAAAATTACGGATAGATTATGGACGTGGGTCCCACTAGTGCGAAAAGTTCGGAAAAATTCGGCCAATAAGGTTAAGTTTCGGATACTGTGTAAAATTTATCGGGTGTTAAGAGATAAGAAGAGGAGGTGATTTGATTGATGTGAGAGAGACTTAAAGGATAGAAATGCATTTAATAGAGTGCCAAGTGGCACTTTCTCATTGGTTGGACTTTTTGACTTTTTACCCTTAAGTTAAATATCTCAAAAATTGACTAAAAATCACCATTTTTCACTCCTTGGTGGCCGACTCTCTTAAGCTCAAGAAGGAAGAAGATTTCTCCAATTTTCAAGCTTCCATTTAGCTCAATCTTCCAAACCAATTTCATCAACTAGTTTCTACTCCATAAAAGTCTTCCATTAGGTGCTAGTAAGTTGTTTGGTGAAGTTTTTAAGGAAGCTAAGGTGTTCTACAACTCCCTCTCTCTTGTTTACTAGGTAAGTGATGATTACACTTCCTCTTACACCTAATGATGTTTAATTTGTGCCTAATGGTGGCTATAGTGTTGAAAATTGTGGTTTATTTCTTGGTTTGGAATGAATTGGTGAAGTTTTTATTTTTTTGAGGAATTTTCTGGTTTAATGTGATCATGGTGTTGTGGTTATTTATGATGGTTGGTAATGAGGGGTTATGACTCTAGTAGGTGTGTATGATAGGAAATTGCAACCAATTTTGGGTTTGGATTGAAATGTGAAAAGTTAGGGTTTCATAACCCCCTTTCTGTCCGGTTTTGGATCATATTGTTAGAGGCCGAATTAGCCTTTTCTTAAAACATGAAAGTTGTAGGTATTGATGTGTTTGAGGTTCCTGTAAAATTTCAGGACAATTGGAGTAGTGTAGAATGAGATATGTCGATTTTACTGTTGCTGTTCTGGGTTGATCAGAAAGTGCGAACTGCGCTTGTAATCGTCTGTTTTGACTGGCATTGCTTTGGATTTGGATGTTGGTGTCTTCTGATGAAATGTATCTTGATGTCTTAGCTACCGTATGCCTTTCGAATCAATGCATTTGGACCTGTATAGACTGAGTTGGACTAATTACAGGATAGTGTGATTTGTAAACCTGCAATTACGGTTCTGGTTTGGTATTTTGCATATTTGACCTAGTTGTGCTAGGATTTGGACTGAGTGGCCTTCTACATTGTTGTAGCCCTGTCTTTTAGCTTCGAGATGGTGGATCTTGCACCCTCATCCGATAAGCGTAGAGCAACTTGTGCCATTACCGCATATTGAGGACAAAACTGTTTTTGTTGCTAGGCCAAATGAGTTACATTTCCTGATTTTCTGGTTTGCAATAATGCTTGTATATGTTGATAAAACCCTATTGGGGTTATGATTGGCATTGCTTTATGACTCGTTATCGAGTCTCATTGTACTTGTTTACGTGTTCTAGGGCGTGACGGTGGTTCATGACATTCTCTTGACGGAAGTGCTTGAAACAACACTTAATTGATAAGTGAGTATACTACTCACTTTAATGGTACAATGTGGCTTTGTTATATGTGAATGTGATGCCTTGAAGGCTTATTTGGCTATTGGAAGTGATTGAGGTGAGGGTGTACTTGACCGCCCTCACCCCCTTGTGATTCCATTCATGACTGTTTACCGTTTCACTGAAATACTGCACTTGCTATATGAGATATTGAATTCCATTCATGGAAAACTGATTTGGTGTCGTTTGGACGAATATCCAACGGCCTTACTGTATTACTGAGCTCAACCCCGTAGGTAGTCAATTGAATCGAGCCGGCGAGGGTTTGGGCGTGAAAATTGACATGCCACGGGGACTGTACTGGGGAATCTTGTAGTAATGAGACTCTTGGTTCCAGTATACTCGAGTATTACCAAAAGCTACTGATTGGAGTGCGGGCCCGGTTGGGGTATGTTTGGTGGAAGGAATGGGAGTGAAGTGGGTTCTACGGTTGGTACTCATAAACGTTGACGGAGAGTCAATGAGATCGGATCAAGAATGTAAGCGTGGAAATGGGCTCTTGAGAGCCGTCCGTATCCTTTTACTGATTTGTTTTATTCCTTAATTGTGTACTGAAATGAAAGGTTATGCTTAAATGATCTTTGTTTCTTATGTGGTAGTAACTCACTGGGCTTAAGCTCATTCCGTTCCATTTGTTTTCCTTACAGGAAATGACCACTTTTGGAAAAGGTTGTGTTAGTTGGTTGTCAAGTTGAGCCCATGTAAATGTCTTTTGAATAGCTCTTTGAATGAAACCCTAATATGTATTGGGTTCAATTTCTTTTGATTGGCAAACCGAACATGTTTGATATGCCGCTTTGGCTTTTGGCTTGTAAATGTTACATTTCAATGTATATGTGTTTGGTTGACATTTGGTTGGATTTCGGATTAACTCGTATTTCAAACGGCGAAAGAAAAATTTCTGGCAGGAATGAACATTAATCATCGAGCAACAACAGCATGCATTTTGAGGAGTTGACATAATATTGAACTCTGATGGTACACTTTGGACTATCACTTCACAAACCTTAACACTGTCATATGAAAGCATGCACTTAGACATGATCTCAACGCATTCCAGCCTCTAGGTGGGAGAGATAAATAGATGGAAGGATTTGAAGGCATAGTTCATTTTTGAGTTTTAAATGTAAAGCTATACAAAGCTTATTAGCCATCAGTAAGCATGATTACTCCCAGCAAGTATAGCTCATCCAAGATACTAACATGTCATTTTTTGCTGAACGGACCACAGCTGTAACCATATCCTATGAGGTCTGAGGTTGAAGTCATGCCACTATCTCCTTGAATTGAATCAGAAAATTTTAGTAAATATACCTTCTTCACTTTTAGTGCAGACATGCTGTCCCAACAAAATGTTCCAGTAAAGTGCATGCAAATTTTATGGCAAACACGACAGATATTCATCTATAGGCCTTTATAGACAAATTTGCTTCCCTTAGTTCCATATGAGGAAGAATCACCATGGATCTGGTTTGTGTTTGGGGTATACTAAGCACTACACCAAATATTATTTAATGACTTGAAATATAAATTGCAAAACTACCCAATAGCTTGCTTTCTATCCACATAAAACAAGGTTGAAATAACAGAAAAAATGCAAGGCTTCCCTGCATACTTAAAAATAAGCATGCTAAATCTGCAAAGTAAAGCTCAGCAACGATTTTAACGTGGTCTCCATAAAAAAGGAAAAGTACACAAAAACTTAGAGAGAGAGAGAGAGAGAGAAGTACACGAAGCAGCTCGCTTAAATTGATCTTTAGGAGATATTTTGAGTGCCTTCCTCATTCTGTCAACCACAAAATACAAGCAAGCAGCAGCAAAGAACAGCAGTCCCGGAACTGCCACAGATATCCCAGCAATAGCTCCAGCAGACAATCCTGATCCTAGAGGGGAAGGGGGCAGGGGGCAGGGAAGGCTTCACTAGAATCAATAATTCCAATGTCAATCTTGAAGTAAATTTAGTAATTGGAAATGAAGTAAGCTAATACTTATCCAATATGAGACAGAACCACCTCTGCATTAAAATAGAGAAAAATATATTGAAACTGATGCTAACATCCATCAATAGTTGGAGATAATAATAAGTTCAGTCCAAAAACCTCAGAAAACCATCAAATGCTACCTGAACTCAAAGGCCGATAGCTTCCACTTTCATCTGCATAACAAGTAAGAATATTTATCAAACTTCACATTTTTAAGTCACCTTAAAATTCATTGGCAACTCATACAATTTTAACTACAGCTACAACTCTTCAAGTGACAAAAACAATTAGTAGCATGACCTAAGAATGTGATAACACATTTAAACCAAAAGTACCACCCCTATAGTCAGTAAACAGTGAACTATCTCATGTAAGCACATCAGAAATATATCACACATAGATCCAAACTTCATGGGATTATTGCATATCAAGTCTATCAGTTACTTATTAGACTTTACATGTATCATTTTATATATTGGTGACCAAAAAAGGAAATTAAGATGAAGTCAATAACTTGTACACCCAAAAAAAAGACTTTAAGATTTGTTTCTATTTTGCTAAATCTCCACACTAAAACCTTGTTTTTGATAAACAAAGATGACGTCAATAACTTAAGATTTGTTTCTATTCTGCTAAATCTCCACACTAAAAACATTTTTGATAAATAAAGACAAATGTTCACCAACAAAGAAGGATGATAGATATTGGCAGTGTATGTTGTCAATTGAATTGTCATAATGATTATAGGGGTAAAGAACAACTTTTCAGTGAACTGTAATATCTTCACTTAATTGTCACACACACTCATTTTTAGTCACATCCAAGTCTGTCCATATCACTGTCCTAGCTAACATCCATTTCTTTTAGGTTAACAAACTAGAATCACCGTTTGGTCAATGAACACAAAATGAAAATGAGAACAACCAATCACACTCTTATCCATGGAGATTCTGAAAAGAAAATCTTGCAAAAAGTAAGACTGCTAACTTTCAGTGCCTATCTTCTTTAGGGCTAACTACAAAATAGCCCCTCAAAAAAAAAAAAAAAAAAAAAAAAAAAAGTTTCTCAGACTTCCCTTCCTTTTCTAATTGAACTAATTTGGCCTCAAGTGTTTCAGTTTTTGCCAGTATGATACAGTTAACCAAGTAACCCGAAATCGAATTTCATTTCCCCATTTGAGATGTCCATGTTGCAACTCAAGGACAAATATACCATCGAGACACTAAGAATTTGTGGATTTGCACAGAACAATGTGCATTTACAGGCATAAGCTATTACCTTGGAAAACTTTGAAAAATTCTAGAGACTTAATTGGTCAAATCAGACAATGACAGGGGTGAAGCGAAAAACCTATAATCACTGGGGAAGAGGAAGGGCATTTGGTGATCAACCCAAACACACGCACACGCGCTCAAACGAAAAGTACCTCAAACGGACATCTAAGTTACACACTCTGGCAACAATTAACACAGAAAATCTCAGTTTCGTGCATCAATACATAGAGAAAACAATCTCTGCTAGGTGTCAAAACTATCTTGATTGCGAAATATCTGAAACTGACCTTTTCCTGGAATGAATAACTGATGACCTTCTTCATTAAAACTAGCTGTTGGATTATATCTCCTGACAACATCAGCACTCAAATTGTTTGCAGCAGCCACAGAGTCCAAAGTATCTCCGTCCCTTATGGGCCAAGTTACAAACAATCCATAATCCTTGGAAATTGCCTTATCCCCACAAGAACAATTAACGGTCACATTCAGGACACTATTAACCGGGATTGCATTTCCTGGATATCTATTCCATCTCTGCAGGCCAGTAGAACTAGTCAAATTAGAATAATAAGTATTTGCAATTAAATCATACGTGTCCCCCTGTGAAACATTGTAACTGAAGATATGAGCCAGAAATCTCCATTGATGCAGTCACAAGTAAAAGGGATGTTTATTCTTGTCTTGGCTTGGACTATATACTGGTCCGGGGAATTAACTGGATTCCAGGAGTTAATAGTAGAAACTGGGATGCTGAAAAGTTGGGAAAGGAAGGCCGTGGTTAAGCCTTCCCAGACATAGTAGTTTGCTAAAGCTAAGTCACAGCCCTTGATACACTGGGAATTGGCTTGGCAAGTTTGGAGTGAGATACTGAAGAATAATACTAGTAGTACCAATGGGGATAGTAGCAATGACATGATTGAAACGGGGAAAAGTCGTGGTGCTGCTATTGTAGCAGGGTGTTAATACTTGTCCCAGCCAGTTTATTCTTGTCCCTCCCACGTCTATGTAGAAGTTGCGGTGCTGCTGCTGAATCAGGTCATTATTCTTGTCCTCAACCATAGGAGTGGTGCTGCTGCAGCAGCTGAACGAGGTAATTATTGTTGCCCCAGACCCTATACGAGTGGGGCTGCTGCTGTATCTATATATATAAGTTTATTCTTGTCAGATATCGAAGTTTTGTTTTTTTTGGTGGAGATTTGATTAGTCTCCATCAATGGCGAATCAATTGACTCACTGGCTCTGAATCTTACCTCTTCAACTTCAAATAATTGCGGATGGGAGAGGGGGTTGGTTGGAAGGGTGTATTTCATTGTGTATTGTGGTTTAAAGTCAATTTTCAAGAAGGTACTCTATTGCGTTTGGAAATGAACATTGTGAAAATCAACTTCAGGCAACTTGTGCTCCCTGGAGACATTTGGTAAGAATGGAGAACAGAGCTTAATCTATAAGTCGAGATCCTTCAAGATTGATTCAGGCATATTATCACACAACAAGGACAAATCGATTTCCTTCAAGATTGATTCAGGCATTTTATCAAACAACAAGGGGGCACTCACAAGGTTGTCCATAGGACCAGGCACAATAATCCTCTAAACCAACAACTCTTCACCCCAATCATGGCTTGGCGGAAGGCCAATCACTTTCTATATCAGTAGACTGTCATTGTCCAACAAAAATTATACAGAAAAATGCTAACAAGAAATCAGTGCAAATCCAATATGCTGAGAGTGTATCTTTTTCTTTCCACCATATATATATATATATGGTGGAAAGAAAAAGAGGCCAAATAAAATTGTAGAATGAACTGGACGCTGGAATTGCTTGATGCGAAGGAGAGACAAATTTATTTTAAAAAAAAAATTCCTTCTGTTTTTAAAATTGATTAAAAACCACAATTTATGATTCGGTAAATCCGGTCCACAATTGTAATCTATGATGTAGGCATTGAAACCAAGGTTTTGAAATCCAAACCGATCATTGATCCGGACAAATGATTGGTCAAGGATTATTGGTTCAATCACTGGATAAACTGTTATTAACCCTGGTATCATAAGTATTATTAATAAATATTAAACATCTAAAAGTATGTAAATATATGTAGAAACTTCAATAATAATCTTTTATGTATTACTTGTTTGAAATTCAAGAATAACTTTTATAAGTAAAAGGTAAAAGAAATATAGAATAGCATTATTATCTACATTTTTAATTTTCCTAAATTATATGATAAGTAGTTTATAAGATAGGAATAAAAATAAATAGAAGGCAATGACAAACAATTGAAATATACTAAAAAGTTAACATAATTAATATACTATATGCAATAAATGTTAGACAAAAGTTAATACATCATTATGAGAGAGAGAGAGAGAGAGAGAGAGAGAGAATGAGGACTCGAAATAAGGTAATAATTGTTAATACCTAACTAACTGGAGACAATTATGCATGGATAATTGGTAAAGTTTATTTTGGACTGTCAGTGAATGAGATTAATTAAACAAATTAAAATTTTTTTGGTTAATTAAAGATGGGCAAGGAACCCCTCGATTTAATAAAAATTGTTCTAATTCAATGGTCCAACAGTCGAATTATCTAGGCTAGCTGATTTTTACCAAACAAAAAAAAAGGGCAGTTTTTTAACCCCTTGGGTTTGAGGCATAACTCAGCCCGCCTAGAAGTCTGATTAATTGTTCAACCGATCCAACCACGCGGTTCGAGCTAGATTTCAAAACCTTGATTGAAGCTAAAGATGGATATAGAGCCGTTTATGAGTTTGAGACAATTGATAAATGCTTTTCTTTTATTGGTTTTTTTAGAGCAAGAAAAGGGTGAAATTTAAGAAGCGAAAAAAGGAAATAGACAATTGAATCCATGAACAAGTACTTTAATTTTTGAAGCTTTCTTGTATGCAATTTGGACGCAATGGATCTTCTGTCCCACTTTTTGTGCCACTATCTGTCCTACTTTTAATTATATTGTTATTTTTCCTTTATAATTTTAGTTCTTTTTTATTCCTGAAGATCTAATGACTATTAATTGAGGAATACTCAAAATTTAACAAGTCAAAAAATCAAAATGCATAAAAAATGAGATTTTTTATCAATTGTTTGCTGTATTTTTTAATTTTCTATTAAATATTTTGTTTTTGAGACCGTTGTATTTCTGTAAAGTTTTTTGAGAATGTTAAAGTAACAACTTATGCCACTAATTTTCTTCAAACTTTTGGTCAGTAAACATTTTAAGGTTACGTATCAGTCATATTAGTGTAGTATTTATTTATTGGCCTCTCCTACTTTGGGGCGAGATAGGGGTTTTATAAAAGGATTAATATTTTTAACAGTAACATTCATGCCACACATGCAAATTTTAAAATTCAAATTAATTATCATGTAATAAAACCTGCTAATATGCACACTATCAAAAAGTAGGAGGTTCTATAAAAAGATGAATATTTCTTACAATAGCAGTGTAGAGTAAATGCATACTACATATGCAAATTTTATGTTTCAAATTTAAATTAAAATTATTATCATATTCCAAAAACCGCCAAAATATACATTAATATTAAAAAAGTTAATCCTTTATAAAATGTTTTGCCAAGTTTGTCGCATAGCACAAGTTAGGATATCTCTTGCTTGTCTTTTAGTATAAGAAATACCTAATCACCAAGAAAACATCAATAGATTTTTTAACGCTGCCTTGGTTCCCTAAACATTCACTATTTTTTCTTTGGCCCTTGGATTTTTCACTATTTTCAATTTGGCGTGAAAACTTTAACAAGGACAAAATAATTAAAGAACAAAAAGATGTTAGCAGATATAGAAGTGAGGTAGACTGTGTAACTAAGGCTGCAAACGAACCGAGGATCGCGAGCGGCTCAAGTCAAGCTCGACTCAAGTTCGATCAATATCGAGGCCAGAAGTGAGGTGGACTGTGTAATTAGGGCTGCAAACGAACCGAAACTCGCGAGCGGCTCAAGTCAAGCTCGATCAATATCGAGCTCGAGCTCAAGATATTAAGCTTGTTAGGCTCGCGAGTTCAAGATATTAAGCTCGTTAGGCTCGCGAGCTCGAGTATATATATATATATATATATATATATATATATATATATATATATATATTATTTTAAGTATATATATATTTTTTATTTTTTATTTTAAGTACATATATTTATTTTCATAGTAAAATTACATATATATCCTTAATCTTTTATTATTTATTAAGAAACAAATATTTATTTATTTATTTTTTTAAAAATAAAATAATTATTTTTTATTTTTTTCGAGCTTGAGCTCGCTCGAATCAAGTCGAGCTTGAGCTTGAGATTTAAATTGTCGACTCGTCGAGTTCGAGTTCACTAAAATTAAGTCAAGACTCGGCTCGATTAGGCCAAAACTCGAATTGGCTCGGCTCGTTTGCAACTCTATGTGTAACTCAGTAGCAACATCTAAAAAAATGTAAACAAAAATAATCTTGAACAACATATATGATTGTCTCATTTGACTAATGAAAATGTTGATCAACTTCCCATCCATTTAATTAACCATATCAAACAAAGAACAATATCAACAACTCAGAGTAACTTGGAGTGTTGGTGTGATGCTAGTATTATTGGATGCCAAATTAGATAACTATGTCAACATATTCTGTCATTATCTTTTTCACCAACTGGATTTTGATTTTCTTTACTAGACTACTCAGGAATGAAACTAGAATTTTTGTTTACAGGGAGGGAATACCAAATACATGATAATGTAAGCTACCCTATCCTAGGTCAAAATTTGATTAACTTTGTTGGGTAATATAAGCATTATAGAGAAAGATATTAGCCAGCAATTGTGAGTTATTTGATTTGACTTTCAAATCCTCTCCTTTTTCCTTTCCCTTATAAGGTTTGGAATCTCCGCTTGAACTAAAAAGATTTTAAAAAAAATTATAGATGAAGTTCTTCTAAATCTGAAGAATAATAGTGATGCAATTTTGTATTCTGAACCATCTTTTGACATATTGTAAATTGATTTGTTAAAAAAAAAAAAAAGAACCTTTTCAACATAGTTTATCCAATATTATAGTGTATGGGGAAATTTTTGATCAATTGAAATTGTTCCGAGGACAAAAAATTCAAACCAAAAGTTAGATTCTAAATGACCGGAACATTGAAGTGAAATTTGTTCCTTCTCCAACTTAAGTGTCATATCTTATTTGCTTGTTCTATCTATTACACTTTTGTTCCTCTCACATATAACAGTTGATTTATTGAATTTTTTTAGAAGATTTACCTTGTCTATTACCTTATTTATATCCATATTCTTAATAACTACGTATAAATTATATCTTCCTTATCCTCCTTTTTGCCTAATTTATCTCGTAGAATAGTTAATTCAAAACACTTGCAATTGGAGAGAAAGGCGTGCAAAGGATAAACATAAAAAATTTATGAGGGGGCAAGAATGATAAGATTATGAATTTTGGTTAAAGCTTATATTACAAATTAAAAGTTTTAAAAAAATTTTGGGGGCGGCTGCACCACCACTGCATCCGTCCTTGAGACTACTAAACCAGCGCTCAGCAATCAGAGTTATTGCCCTGTTGATGGGACCTGCAGTCTTGATATTTGATAACCAAGAAATAGAAAGATGCCCCTTTTTGCTTCATTCTTCCACCTAAAAGAGATGACTAATTAACATAATCATCGTTGCAAACATATTCAACAACATCATTTTCCTTTATTTTTTTTCCAATTCTTCTGCCAATTACCGCAAACCAAATTGAAGCGGAATTCATCTCTCTCTTGTTATCTTGTTATGTCAAGCGTTTGTTCAAGGGTGACAAAATCAAGGGCGTCATGATGACATGAAACGCTAAAATCTTTCGGAACATCATCAACAATGTCGTATCGAAAAATAGTTTAGAGTGAAATATCTGAACGCTCCCTTAAACTATTGTCGTTGTATGTTTTTTTTGTCTATGTTTGAGATCAAAATTATCCACGTCAACAATCTGAAACGTCCAATATAATTTTAACTGCTGAATTAATGATGAGAAATAATTACTTCAAATAAGTCTTCAATTTTATGTTAAATTTTCAAAAATCTGAGTTTTTTTCTAGGGCAAGCACTTTCCCACATCTACAAAATAAGTCCAAATCAAGCATCATTTATA